AGGAAAATGAAGCGGTGATTTAAATAATCGCCGCTTCATTTAAATTTACATGGCTGCCGCACTGAGCCGACAAACAGCTGATCCTGGGATGAGGTTTACCTGAGTGGTTGACAAATACCTTTGATGTCGCCACCTGTGCATCCAGACTATCGCGCTGAGCTGACAAACAGCTAATCAGCTGTTTGTCGGCTCAGCGCGGCAGCCATGTAAATTTAAATGAAGCGGTGATTATTTAAATCGCCGCTTCATTTTCCTATGTCTGGTAGCCTAATCTACATGCCTCTGGCGACAGAGGCATGTAGTCTAGACGTATCCACAGTTTCACCTTCTGCAGTGAACTAGAACAAAACCAACACCATTCATTCATTTTCTTGAGTACAGCAATCACAGAAGAACCATAGGAAGAAGGAGAGATTGCTAACCTGACTGTGCTTGGAGAAAGGGATGTTAATGAAAAATAGCATTATGACCTGAAAGATGCCATATCAGAACTGGCAGGCATTCTACGAGTTAGTTCATTATCTGGTTTCTGATGGTGGTCAATACCTTTTCCCTCAGGCTATGTCTAGACTACAGGCTTCTTGTGCAAGAAAGGTAGTGTCCAGACTGCCTGGACGCTATCTCACATGTAAGCAGTGATTGCTATGGACAGAATGGCTACCAGGGTAACTGTGCTTTTTCCTCTTCCCTCTTCTTCTGAAAAAATTCCCTCTTCTGCGTCCACACACACCTTTTTGCGAAAGAGCTTTTTCGTAAAAAAGCTTCTTCCTCACAGAATGAGGATTACCAATGCTGGAAAACTTCCTCTGTTCTTTCAATTTACTGTTGAAAGAATGCACTTCCATTGTGGATGTAACTCAAGTTTTATCTGAAAAACAGCTGTTTTTCTGATAAGACTTTGTAGTCTAGACATAGCCCCACAGAGATCAGTGAACCCCCATAATGCATCTTAATGCTTTGCCTGTTTAGGTTGAGTTCTCACTCTCCTTTCCCCACATTTCTCACTTTTCAGAAATTGTTTTTACGTTGCCTTCTGTGCATAATATATGTGCATCTGTCTGTGTGGTAAAAAAAAGGATACTACTGAAAAACAGACGCAATGCAGTCTCTTCCTGTTAATGGGCAAGTCAGAGTTACATGCATGGCATTTGTCTGGACAGAGTGTGGTCTATTTCCTAAAACACTCAATTAACCTGATTCTTCACTGTCTTGCATTTTATATTGACATTTATACCCATGCAAAATACAACTAAATTGGAATGGTAGCATTTTGCACCTTGCACAAGTGCAACTGATGACACAAAGTTCAAGGGACTAGAGATTAAGGGCAGAAGAATTCCGAGTGTTGTTTAAACACATGAAAAATAGTGCTATAATTTATGGAAATAAGGGGGGATGGGTGATATTTGTGTTAGAAACATTTGGTGAGCCATAAAAGGAGGAACAAGGAGTCCCTTTGTTTTGTCTGTAGAAATGACAAAATAAATGATTTGGAATTGCAATCTTAACTATTCAATTGCCCGCTTCACATTGCACCTACTTTTGTCCATTAATATTTCACGGAATGTTAGGATATTTCACTGAATCATGGACTATTAGGATATAGGTGGAATGTTGAGCCTCAAAGCATGTGGGTTCTATATTCCAAGAATTCTGCAGGTGCCTCCTACCTGGCTACACCTTGAATATTCAGCAGTGTGATTCTATAGGTGTACCCCACATGAATGGATATGGAGCATTAATTAGTAGAGCAGTTGACTCCTATCTGACTGTACCTGGACAAATCAGTAACATGATAAGTGTATTTGACTTTCATGCATATGCAGAATTAAACAGAGCAGGTATTATTTATCTGTATGTATCTGAGGGATTCTGGAAACATCTGACAGCAGTCAAGTGGTTAAATAAATCTTATTTCAGTACATGCTTTTTTTTTTAAAATGGGCTTATCATAAACCAGAGGTGAACATGATCATAACAAAATATATTGCAGAATCATTTGACAAAATGTCAAGGTTGGGGAAGCACATGCTTATTGAAACAAAAAGGTTGATTTTGAATAAACACAATAGTGTGAAATCTACCCAGTGCTTTTCTCCCCAGTTTCTGGTTGGGATGAACCTACATGCCTCTTTCAATGGGAAAACAAATTTGATACAGCAGCTCAACTGTAATTTTCCAAGACATTGCCAAATATGTATTTCAAAAGGGCTCCAGAGACTGGAGGGACCACATGAAAATTTGTGAGTGTAGTCAGGTACCATATGCAAAATCAATTATTATCATCCCTGTTGCTGCCCAGGAATCTCTGGGTTAGCAAGTCTCTTGATGGGAGGAAAAATGAGGGCTCTTTTAAAGTCTATTAACATTTGTTTTTAAAAAGTGTGAATTTGATGATCAGGAAAACAAGGGACAGGCAGCAACACAGGGGAAAACTGAAAACAGCTAGGCATATGATATATAGGTTCTGTACAAAAATACCCCTGGTCTCCCTGTCCTGAGTCCATACCCTGCTTTGCCAATACAAGGCAGTCTTGATCTGCAATACCCCTTGTTGTGCCAGTCCTGTACTGTCACAGGGTATGTCTAGACTACAAGCCTCTTTCGAAAGAGAGCGTCTAGACTGCAACCTCTTCTTTTGAAAAAGTGAGCCGCTTTTTCGAAAGAGAGCACCCAGGCAGTCTGGATGCTCTGTTTCAAAAAAGCCCTGTTTGCATTCAAGAATGCCTTTTTTCGAAAGAACACTTTTGAAAAAAGGTGTTATTCTTTGTGAAATGAGGATTACCACCATCGAAAGAAAAGCCTCATTCTTTTGATTTAATTTCGAAAGAACGCAGCTGTACTCTAGATGCAGGTGAAGTTTTTTCGAAAAAAGGCTACTTTTTTTAAAAAAAACCCTGCAGTTTAGACACAGACACAGAGCTTTGCCAGTCAATCTCATAAAGATGAGCCATCTAAGTATGCCCCCCCAGTTACTCCTCCACAGAACATAATACAACAACAACACACAGCAAGGCAGATATTATAGTGACCTCTGAAGGGAAACAACTCTAGGCTAAGGCAGGTTTCTCCATCCTGGGCTGATGGTTGATATAACAACAGCTTATTATTAAGTAGTGGTAGCACAAGGAACCCAGAATGTGTCTGTCTCAAAGCCAGATGTTACTTTTCCCTTACAGTTGCTACAGATCCCACTTCAATCAACATTTGAAAATCAGAGTCAACATCATGACTTGTCCCTGGGAGTGATTTTATTTTCATTTTCATCCTTTCACTACAGCAATGTGGCAGCATTTTCCGGCAGGAGATTGATGCAAAGGGATAAGACTCTAACTATGTCTCCATGGGTGAGCAGATTTTCTTTTCATTTTACTTTATATGTTACTGCACAACACTTGCTAGGAAGAATGAAAACAAATTGTAAGTAATGAAGAAACTTTAGAGGAAAACGAAATAATATCCCTATTGTTATCTTGGATTCACATAATTCTGACAGGAAAGTGGGTGCCTAATTGACATGAAACTTGAACAGATAATAAGGTGTTTTAAATATGGAGCTTTTTCAAATACATTTATACCAGCTCAGGCAGAACTTTGGAGGGAATAATTTATTACATTCAATGTACTTTTCTTTTAATTTTTTTTGTAACCTGATTCTTTTCTCACTTATGCTAGGGTAAATCAGGAGTAACTCCACTGAAGCCAAAAGTGATACACTTGAGGAAAACTGATGTAAGTAGTAGGCGATCCACCCCAAAGAATCCTGAGGGTGATCATGGTTTTCTCAGATGTTTGCATTATTTTTACTTTGTTTGATTAAATATTTCATAATTCTGGAAGTGAGCATTTTATATAATACAATTGAAATGTGAAGTTTAGTTGTCATTGGTTATATGAATCGCATGACATTGTGTCTTTTCTGACTGGTTGTGTTTAACTCTTAAGGTGCTAATTACCTCCTAGGGTATTTCTACACTGAAATAAAAAAACACATGCTGACCCATGTCAGTTGACTTGGGCTTGCAGGGTTTGGGCTGTGGTGCTGTTTAATTGTAGTATAGATGTCTGGGCTCATACTAGAGCCTTGGCTCTAGGACAATGTTCCTTCCATATTTTTTTCCATCCGTGTGTGGAATAAATTGTGTTTTGTGCACCAAGGCACGTGCAGATGTGCACCACCAATATAAACAAAAGCTGCTGGCTGTGGAAGTCTGTATGAACTCTGCCAATCAGCTGGGTAGCATTTGAATCTCTCCTGGGTGGTTGACTAAGCACTCATCTTACAGGAAACACTTCTCTAGGATCCTGGAGCATTAAATGGTTCCAAAGCTTGAGTTTCAACTTAAGCCTGGAAGTCTACACTGCAGCCAGAAGTGTCTAATTATAGTGTAGCTATACTCTTAGATGCAATTGTATGAATTATCTTATCAAACCATTCTTGTGAAGATAATAAAACTATACTGAATAGAAGACTATAGGTACGTCTACACAGCAGGGCTCAACTTGAAATAAACTATGCAAATTGAGCTACATCAATTGCGTAGCTTATTTTGAAATAGCTTATTTTGAATTTGGGAGTGTCTACACGGCACTTATTTTGAAATAGAGTACTCTTCCTCTGACTTCCTTTACTCCTCATACAATGAAGGTTATAGGAGTCGGAGTAAGAAGTCCTCCAGCTTGACAGTATTTCGACATTATTTCGAAATAACTGCCTGCTGTGTAGGCGCAGACTAAATTATTTTGAAATAATTTTGCTGTGTAGATGTACCCTGAGAGAGCAAACACCAAGAGGGTGTGATTATAACAGAAGTAAATTTTTATATTTAAAGTCACACAAAATATATAATATTTTTGTATTATTTTCCCAGCTTTAATAAAAATAAAAAAAAATCAGCAGACGCTAAGTTCCTTTCTAGGCAGCATGGGAATTCTTTCTCAAATCTAGTCGTTTTCTTCACAACACTTCCCACAGGTTCTAATCCGAAGAGAGATTTTTAAATGTGTATCATTGTACTGCAGTACTACTGCCAATAATACTTGGCTTCTGGATAGTCCCTCTGCATGAGCATTTCAAAGCACTTTACATGCATTAGTTAAAGCTTCAGAAAGCTCCTGTGAAGGATGCTTCATTATCCCCATTTGACAGGTGGAGAAACTGAAACACAGAAAAGGAAATGACTTATCCAGAATCACACAGAGACCAAAGGCAATCCAAAGAGAGAATCCAGCTGTCCCAGCTTCTAGCCCTTTGCTTCAAAGTTGCTCCATACATCCTCCTAAAATAATTTTAATAACTAAGAAAAGAAACTAGTAGTGAGTTTGATTTTCATTTACTCAAATTAACACTGAAACCCAAAATGGCTCAAAACAAAACACCCATCAGTGATGCCAATGCAAATTTTAGCAATCTGGTTCCCATACACAGTGATTTGTAAGCACAGCATGAGTGTGAGAAGCTGCCCACTAGTTTACATCTCCTCCAGCTTTTGCCTGTCTCTAGGTTTTCCTGTTAATTCAGGCCTCTTGTGGTGAGTTAGGGTCTGTACAATGTCTGGAAGTGGGAAGTACAAACAGAAATATGCATGTCCTGGACCTGGTTAGGCAGGAAGCTACTATGTAGGGGCTGCTGAGAAATGTTAGCCTATTCACTCCTTTGGTTTGTTTGATTTGTCACTTTCAACTTTCCTTCCACATTTTTGCTATTCATAATATTCATGTGTCTTAAAGTTTGACTGAGAGCTCTTTGGAGTAAGGGCAGCCTTTTATGTTTGGAACTTCTGGATGCAAATGATATACAAATGAAATAAGAAAACAACAACAACAACAACAACAACAGTTCATGATTATATTTTAAAAAGAAGAGAAGATTTTCCAGTTTGCCATTGGTGCTATCTTCCCCAATAGCACAACAGATTTTGAATGCATATTTGGAAAATGTTTCTAAAGCTCCTTTATACTGTAAGGGAGGACAAGACAACTGTCAGGCAGAGGTAGTAGACCCCAAAGATAGCATACTGAGTTAGATGAGTCATGACATGTCTGTTCTGCATGACCTTTGGTGTGATACCAGATTAGAAGGAGCATTGCTTTGTTTCATGCATTTGGAGATGGGATAGTGACCTAGATAGAGCCTTTTTCTGTTCCTGCATATTACAGAAACCAGACTGATATTGGACTATGTAAACCATTAATCAACTTCTTTTTATATCCCTGGTTCAGCAAACACTTATGTATCTGCTTAACTATAAGCACTTAATTAAGTCCTATTGACATCAAAGATAAACATGTGCTTAAGTATTTTGCTGAACTGGGCCTCTGGTGTAAGATGGGATATTGGCCAATAAATGCTACTTGGCTTTTCTAATACATCAAGAGGTAGAAAACCAGGCTACTGTGACACTGATTTACATGATGCTAGAGGAGCTGGGACGCAGGCTACCTGGGCCTTTGGTCTATATGGTGCAATAGGAAATAGGAGCTCCCAGGGAACCTGGACCATTGATGTACTTTTCTACTTCACTCTCATCTTCTTTTAAAAATTCAAGCAGCAGTTTCACATAGCTCAACTGACAGGTACCCATTGTCACTAGGAACAGAACAGGAGACAATGCAAAACAGCTTCCTTAAGCTGTTTTTAATTAGAACGTAAGTCATTTCCCGATGATGGATTAATCATTCTATGGCACGAACTGCTAGCAGTGCTCATAAAAATATTTTTGAATTTCTTTCCACTCATCTGAGAACACTGCTTTCCCCTCGTTTCTTGCATAAAATTATGTTATTAGATTTTATTGGACCCTGTTGATGTGAGACAAAGCTCCATGATCTGGCTCTGAGAGTCAATTGACAGAAGTGTTAATTCTCAGAGACAAATTCCTTTGGGATGTGCAGCATCTAAGTGCATTTTTTTAGGATGATATGTGCAAATCTTTGTGCTTGGGAAAGTGAGGGATCAAGAGAAATGAATGGAGTGGAGTACAGTGCCGACTGGCAGAGCACAGTTACCACACAGGTGGAGCTCTGTCATTTCACCTTTCCAATACAAATGGCAGCACCTCCAACATTGTAGCCTTCAGTCTTCATGCTGTCAATGGGCTTACAGGACCCTTGCTGTTCCTGCCATGAGTACCCACGCGACTCTGTCACGACACCGTTCTGCTTACCTGAAGGCTACAGTAGGATTTCAATCCATGTCTCCAGTCCTGTTTCCCACTGCCCATATAAACATGACCCAAGGAAAAAGATACTTGTGTACTTTGAGTATGTTTTTTTCAGTGCTGAGTTCTGTAGGTTATGTCATTATTGGTTTGAGGGACCTTTTCTCCTGGGAATTATTATTAATAAAGAGGTATGTGAAAGTAGTATGTGGGTGTAATGATACATAAGTGAATGCATCATATTAGATGGCTTCCTGTGCATGAGCACAAAGGGGCTGCAAAAGGGGGCAGTAAAATTTAGCAAATGCAGTATTGTTTTTGTGGATTAGGCTAAGTGTTTGCCTGTAGGATAGGTGTAGGCAGTTCCTGGTCAGTGCAGCTCAGCCAGACACAAGTTTTGCCTTAGCAAAGGAGATGACCTCACACTGTCATTCAGTGGTTACATGTCCTGTACCCTGAGGGTGAACTTACACGGCACCCTAAACTCGAAATAAGATACACAATTTGCGATACACAAATTGCGTATCTTATTTTGATTGAATTTCAAAATTGAATATTTTGAAATTTGGCATGTCTACGCAGATGTTTTGACAAAAATGACAAAAATGTTTTGACTAAAAATTTCTGATCCAGTTCCAATATACAGATGATTAGAGGCATAAAGAAAAGTTTCTTAAAAATTTAAATTGGGGGAAGGGATTGCTGTTCCCTAGGATCTCTTCCCATTTTACCGTTCCTCCCTATTTATCATACTGGTTCACAAAGTATGTATCATTTCTGCCCTCTTCTGGATGGCACATCAAGACCTCTAAGGCTGTGTCCAGACTCAGGGGTTTTTTCGAAAAAAGTAGCCTTTTTTCGAAAAAACTTCACCTGCGTCTAGACTGCAGCCGCGTTCTTTCGAAATTAAATCAAAAGAATGCGGCTTTTCTTTCGACGGTGGTAAACCTAATTCCACGAGGAAGAACGCCTTTTTTCGAAAGTGCTCTTTCGAAAGAAGGCGTTCTTGAAAGCAAACAGGCTTTTTAGAAAGAGAGCATCCAGACTCACTGGATGCTTTCTTTCGAAAAAGCAAGCCGCTTTTTCGAAAGTTCAACGTGCAGTCTAGGCGCTCTCTTTCGAAAGAGGCTTGCAGTCTATACATAGCCCCAGTGAGTCTGGATGCTCTCTTTCTAAAAAGCCTGTTTGCTTTCAAGAACGCCTTCTTTCGAAAGAGCACTTTCGAAAAAAGGCGTTCTTCCTCGTGGAATTAGGTTTACCACCGTCGAAAGAAAAGCCGCATTCTTTTGATTTAATTTCGAAAGAACGCGGCTGCAGTCTAGACGCAGGTGAGGTTTTTTTAGAAAAAAGGCTACTTTTTTCGAAAACCCCCCTGAGTCTGGACACAGCCTGGGTGCTTTCTTTCGAAAAAGCGGCTTGCTTTTTCGAAATTCCGCGTGTAGTCTAGACGCTCTCTTTCGAAAGAGGCTCTTTCGAAAGTATCTTTCGAAAGAGCTTCTTTCGAAAGAGGCTTGCAGTCTAGACATAGCCAAAGTGAAGAAAGCAAAGAAAGCACACAGAAGATCAGAACCC